ATCCAACCTTCCTGTTTGCACACACTGACTGACTCACAAGACTTGGCTTACGGGTCTCCTCCTAGGGCCCCTCCTCTTCTTGTGGTTTGTAAAGATTCCCTTTTGCTCTTTAAAGATGACTGGGGAATACCAATAATAGCCCCTGTGGAAGGAAGGAAGGCTGCAGAGACCCAATACATGGATGTTGCTGCCACCAAGAGATGGGCTCTTCTCCAGAAACCCCAGTCTGCTTCCTGTCGAATGCTGACCTTTATCCTGGGGAACACACAATTGGCCTTGGCCCTGACCCTGAGCACTGAGGTGGCCAGGATGGCGGGGCTATGTCCTGGTTTGCTGTGAGTACTGGCACCTCCTTCACAGAGCTGTTTCTAGGTCCAAGCGGTCAATGGAGCTGGGCAGGGCTCGGGCCAGGGCTCTAGGATAACTCCAGGTCTTTCCCTGTGAGCGCTGTACTGCACGGCTCTAGTTCATCTGAAGTTTTAGCTTTTCGCTGTGATACAATACTGCTAAATAGTCATTCTCCCCAGAAGACTCTGGACACCAGTGGAAGAGCTACCTGTGAACACACGGGTAAGAAAGCCAGGATGTGGGAAGCATAAAACCGAGGCCAACACATTTCTGGGTTGTAGACGCGCACACTCGGTGTGCAGGGGAGCAGGGTGGTTTGCAGCAGTGAATTGCCTTCATTTCTGGGAGACGGCAGGCAGGCCCTGGCTCCAGTCCAGGGACACTTCTCTATCTCCCACTGACAGCACCCTTAGGCCATATGACACACCCTGACAAGGGGATCCCTGTCCTCCCAGCTCCATACTGGAGTGAGGTAGCAGTAGCTGGGGGAGGATGGAAGGGAGGGAGAGAAGGCGAAGGAGAAGAGAGGGAGGGAGGAAAGAGAGAAGGAGGAGGGAGGGAAAGTTGCTTTTGAGCAAGCTGAGCAGATGAGATCACGTCTATATTATGCTCCTGGGAGCCGATGTGACAGACACAGGCAGGGGCCCTGGGCAGTGGCTCTTTCTTTCAGTGCTAGGAGGGACCCTGGGCCTCAACATTTCTGAGTCTGTAGGGAACCTTGAGCTTCGGCTCCGACAAATCAACCCATGACCTCACCTCTAATGTCTCAGCTCCGGCAGCTGCACGTGTTTTCATCAGGGCCTGGGCAGCAGAGAGGCAAGGAGGAGAGGCCAGAGGGACAGGCTAATTCCTGGACCTAGGCAGTGCAGTCGGCAGGGAAGCCCTGAGAAGATCAAGGATGAGTTGTGGGGCTGGACTAGCCGAACACGGACCATGGCTGCCAATGGCCAGGGGGAGGGAAGGGTCGCTTCTGCCCCCACGGCCCTCTTTCTTCAGATAGAACAAGGAGGATTACTATCTGTTGTCCTCCAGGAAGAGAAAATTGTCAGGGTCTAGAAGTTCTGTTTCTGTGGGTGGTCGAAGCAGGTGTCCACACCTGTCCAGAGGTGAGGAGAGAGAATGCTCGATCCAGTAGAGAGGGACCTGTGTGGCCAGGCAGCAGGGGCAGTTGCTGCCATCTGCACAGCACAAAAAGGCTTCAAGGCTGTTCGTGTCCATCCATCTTCACCGAAGTCTTCAGCTGGAGAGCCAGGGTAATGACGGAGGAACCTGAAAACAGTCTAACTTCCTGTCTGGGCCATGTGCTCCAGAGGCATCGCTGTTTGTTACGCTGCCGGCTGCACACAGAATATCTGTTGGCGATAACTGGCTTAGGGACGGGATGCGTTGATTTTGGTTCATGCATCCAGAAGTCCTGCCTGTCACCCTTTTGCTCTGTAGCTTTAGGCCTGTGGTAGCAAAGGACATCGTGGCAGGGAACATGATGGAGGAGGCTGCTGACCTCCTGGAAGCAAAGAGGGGAAGAGATGGCACTCCAATATCCCTCATGCCATCCCACCCTGACGGTGGTCTAACTTCCTTCCTCTAGGCTCCCCTTCCCCAGCACGGACTGGCCACCGAGTCTTTAGCAGGTGGGGTTTGGGGATGGAGTCCATTCAAGACCGAAACCATGGCGGTGCTCAAGAGTGGAGGAAGTCGCCTGAACCTAGTAGCTGCTGTCCCACCGACTCCTTCAAATAGCCCTTGCAGACGTCAGTCAGTGGTGAAGACTCTAGCTATCCTGAGGAGGGAAAGGCCTCGCTGTGCAGGCCTCTCAGAGATAGAAATCAAACCAATCATATTATTGTATGTGTGTGATTGTAGCATGTGAGCCTGTCTGTGTCTCTCTGTGTGTGGCATGCATGAATGTGTATATGTGTGTCTGTGAGTGTCTCTGTATGCAGTGTGTGTGTCTGTGTGTATGTGTGTCTGTCTCTGTGTGTAGTATGAATGTGTTGCTCCCTTGAAGTCATCTGGAGGACTAACAGAAGGACCACGGGTGGAGGCTGTGAGCTGTGATTCCAGCCAGATGGCTCCGTCTGTGAAAGCCGGTAGTGTCTGTGTTTTTGTATGTTGTTTTTTGAGTGACTCGAGCCCATTATGGATCTTTCTCCTTGAGGCCAAGGCCTCTGTGTCTGCACTAGCATTCTAGAGTGCCGGAGAGAAGCAGGGGCCTGGGTTTAGGCCAGCGGGTGTTGGTGAGTGGGGATTCTGGCAGCCAGGCTGGATGCCCTGTGCTACTTCTGATGTCAGATGGCAGAGAGACGCTACAAGCCTTTGAGTTGACAGGATTTGGAAGTCTCCAAAAAGTTTTGGGGTTCTGGGAGACGACCAAGCCTGGGATTTAAGTGTGGGTCTCTTTGGTTTCTCTTAGTGGGAGGCTGGCTTGGAGGACACCTGAGCTTGGGGCTGAGGATGTGGCTCAGGGATGTGGTCCTGCAGCGCCACCTGGGGGCAATGAGGAGAATGGCCTCAGAGGCCCCCAGAGGATGAACCCATTCACGGAGTCTTGGCCCTGAGGTATGGGTGCTCAGGAGTTTCCTCCTTTCTAGTACTGACCTCAGGTGACATGCTGTGGACTCTGAAAGTGAAGGCTTCTGTTGAGGGACCCGAAGACTTGTTTCTGACATCCTGCCTCATCTGATTAAAAGGCAACATCAAAAAATACTTAAAAGTGAGGTTTGGGATCCTGACTTCGAGTCCGGTGCTCTTCTCACTGTGTTCTAAGCCATGCCCGCCTGGGGTAGAGTGCCTGATTGGGTGTTTCTGCAGGACATTAGGCAGTAGAGGACTTCCACCTGAAGGGAAAGTCAACTTGTAACAAACCCAGGAAGAGTCTGGGTGTGACAGAATGCCCCTTTGGGGATAGTGTCTGGTGATGGTGATCTTGGACTGACATTGGCCAGATCAATGATAGCAGGGCCCCGTCAAGTGCCCTATGATCCCTTGACCCTGTTCTTGTCCTGTCCTTTCCTGACAATGTGCTGCAGAGAGTACCCCATGGACACCCCAGCTTCTGCAGAGACTTGGGACATAGAGTGCAGGGGAATGTCCTCTGTCTCCTTGGGAAGCCCTCAGCGCAGACTTTTATTATCTCGCCCTGACTACAAGCAGGGGTATGCTGCAGAAACCACGTGAGACACTCAGACTGGTTCAGGGGCAAGCGTGGGTCCTTCTTGGGGGCCCAGGGGAACGGCTGATCTACCTTTTACTCCCCCTCAAGGGCTAACTTACACTCCTCTTCCTTGGGCTATCTGGGCAAACATGAAGTAAACCGTTCCTGCCACCCTGGCTTTATAAGTGGCTGCAGCGTGCATAGCTGACCTCTCCAGCTAGTGCTTGTAAGTGTGCCCCAAATGACGGGCAGACTGGAGTCTTCATTTGTTTCTCCCCACCCCCACCCCGCCGTGCTTAGGATGCGCATTGCACTCAGTCCTAAAGCACACTTCTAGGCTAGGGCAGTGGGAAGGAAGTGCCTGTCTTGTGCTGGACACTGTATCGGTTTCATGCCAATGTGACTGAATACCCGAGGAGCACGTTCTAAGGAGGAAAGATTTCCTCTCACCCTTTCAGAGGGCTCTGGATGCAAAGTACAGTGGAGTGGAAACTCATGGCAAAAAGAAAAAAAAAGAGGCAAAGAGGAGGCGTGAAGACCTAGGGTCCCAAGGGTGTCCCCAGTGACCTGACTTTTTCTCGCTAGCCCTACTGCCTAGAGGTCCCATCAGCTCTTAGCATCACCCTGGCCTGCTG